CAATATAGCCCGAGCTTGTGACAACGCTTGTGACAACGGACCGACAGTCAAAATCAATTTGTTTACATGTTATGACATCATATAAGATTGTCATGGTAAAAAGTTTGGCGGCTATACAGGAATATATAGCCGACCTTCAGCTCCATTGACTTTCATTCAAATGCTTTGCTAGGTATGTAATACTATATATCTTTTATTGAATCTTTGATGTCATTACAATGACATATTACTCAGTACAATATACAATTTACAAAAAATAACTTAAACTAGATTAAACTAACTACAAAAATATAAAATATTTACAGCATGACATATGCAAAATAACAACATAAGTCAGTTAAAATACAGCAAGACAAAATATAACTAGACTTTGGAAATTGAACAAGTTCAATTTCAGACTCCAGATTTAGACTTTTTAAGCTGAGTCATCCAAAATAAGCCGAGTCATCCAGAATAAGCCAAGTCATCCAGAGTAAGCTGAGTCATCCAGCATAAGCCGAGTCATCCAGAATAAGCAGGTGGATGGCAGGACTGATGGATGAATGGATGGATTGATAGGAGGAAGGATAGGATAGAATAGGAAGAAAGGATAGAATAGGATACGATAGAATCGGAAGAAAGAATAAGATAGGACAGAATAGGAAGGATAGGATAGGAAGGATAGGAAAAAAGGATAGGATTGGATAGGATAGGTGGGATGGATATAGCCGAGTATTCCAGAATAAGCCAAGTCATCCAGAATAAGCTGAGTCATCCAGAATAAGCCGAGTCATCCATAATAAGCCGATGGATTGATGGATGAATGGATGGATTGATAGGATAGGAAGGATAAGACAGAATAGGGATGAAGGATAGGATAGAATAGGAAGGATGGGATAGTATAGGATAGGATAGGAAGGATAGAATAGTATACGATATAATCCGAAGAAAGAATAAGATAGGACAGAATAGGAAGGATGGGATAGGATAGGAAGGAAGGATAGGATAGGAAGGATAGGAAAGAAGGATGGGATTGGATAGGATAGGTGGGATGGATATTATAGTCGAGTCATCCAAAATAGCCAAGTCATCCAGAATAGGCTGAGTCATCCAGAATAAGCCGAGTCATCCAGAATAAGCCGATGGATGGATGGATTGATGGATGAATGGATGAATTCATAGGACAGGACAGAATAGGAAGAAAGGATAGGATAGGATAGGAAGGATAGAATAGGAAATGATAGAATCCGAAGAAAGAATAAGATAGGACAGAATAGGAAGGATGGGATAGGAAGGAAGGAAGTAAAGAAGGATAGGATTGAATAGGATAGGCGGGATGGATATATCCGAGTCGTCCAGAATAAGCCAAGTCGTCCAGTCCTATCCCTCTTTCCTATCCTTCTTATCCTATCCTTCCTTCTTATCCTATCCTTCCTTCCAGAATAGGAAGGAAGGATAGGATAGAATAGGAAGAAACGATAGGATAGTATAGGATAGGAAGGAAGGATAGGATAGGAAGGATAGGAAAGAAGGATAGGAAAGAAGGATAGGATATAGGATAGATATAGGATAGGATATAGGATAGGATATAGAATAGGAAGGAAGGATAGGATAGGAAGGAAAGGATAGGAAGGAAGGATAGATAGGAAGGATATGATCAGACAGGATAGGAAGGAAGGATTGATGATTTTTTCTATATTTTCTTCGCTACTCTTGACTTTCTATAAGGATATCATCAGATCGATTTTTCTCGAAATTTCAAAACGCCATAACTTTCGAACCGGGAGTCGGATCGAAATTTGATTTGCAGATTCGGATTCCTGAGTAAATTCTACCCTTAATTCATGTCTCAGATGTTAAATTTGGAGAACTTTTCATTTTGACCTACTTTCTGGACGCTATATTTCAAAATCGGTAAGCGTAATCAAAAATCTAATGTCATATCTTTGCTTTGGCTTTTTCTAAGCTACATGATGAAAAAAAGATTTAGGAATTACGATAAACAACGACGAAGATAAATGACAGAATGTTGAAAATGTAAGATTTGACCTAGTTCTTGACCTTTGACCTAGATAAAAATTTGACCCAGTTTCCGAGGAACTAGATACTGGACATAAATTGACTGAATAATGATCTTTATTGGAAGTCTTATGGTTATCGAGAAAACTGGGAAAGAATAATAAAGAATAATAACTAGACATGTAAATTGAACAAGTTCAATTTAAGACTCCAGATTTAAACCTTTTTTCAAGCTGAGTCATCCAATTACTTGTAACTTGTAAGCTGAGTCATTCAGAATAAGCTGAGTCAGCTAGAATATAGACATTTAGACAACTTTTAAGAATGTTATCTTCGACTCCATTGGCTTAACATGGGGATATCATCATATCGACTTTCCGAGACTTCAAACTGCTATAACTATCTAATCAGAAGGTGGATCAAAATTTGGTTTAAAGATTTGGATTCCTGAGACATTTCTACTTTTAATTCATAACTCATACGTTAAATATGGAGAACTTTTTACTTTGACCTACTTTTCGGACACAAATATCTCAAAAGTGGGTCAAAATACTTTCTGACGGCAAAAGGCTAACACTATTAGCACACTCTTTGCTACCTGTATACAAAATTTTGAAGCAAATTATTAAAGTGTAGTGTCAGAATCGTAAAAATAAGGAAAAACTATGAATTTGACCTAGATTTTGACCTAGGCATTTTGGTGTCCAAATTTTGAAGCTATGTAGCTTTTGAGGTCCCCTTCTTTAATAATAGTTCATTATGTTGAGCTTTACCCAGTCTATATCTTGTATTTTACACTTCAAAAAAGTCTTTTTTCCCATTGACTTAACATGGTGCACCAAATTGAGCGATTTTTGAGATTTCAAAACGCTTTAACTTCCGAACCGGCAGTCAGATCGAAATTTAGTTTGCAGATTCAGATTCCTGAGAAAATTCTACTCTTATTTCATAGCTCATATGTTAAATTTGGAGAACTTTTTATTTTGACCTACATTTCGGACACCATATCTCAAAAGTGGGTCAAAATACTTTCTGACGGCAAAAGGCTAACACTATTAGCACACTCTTTGCTACCTGTTTACAAAATTTTGAAGCAAATTATTAAAGTGTAGTGTCAGAATCGTAAAAATGAGGAAAAACTATGAATTTGACCTAGATTTTGACCTAGGCATTTTGGTGTCCAAATTTTGAAGCTATGTAGCTTTTGAGGTCCCCTTCTTTTCTAGGCATTCATTATGTTAAGCTGTACTCAGTCTATATCTTGTATTTTACACTTCGAAAAAGTCTTTTTTCCCATTGGCTTAACATGGGCACCAAATTTAGCGATTTTTGAGATTTCAAAACGCAATAACTTCCGAACCGGAAGTCGGATCGAAATTTTGTTTGCAGATTCGGATTCCTGAGATAATTCTACACTTATTTGATGATTCACACGTTGAATTTGGAGAACTTTTTATGTTCTGACCTACTTTTCGGACACCATATCTCAAAATCGGTAAGAGTAATCAAAAAACGGTTTACCATTCGTAATAAGCTTTTTCTAAGGAACATGATGAAAAAAACCCGGAGTGAAAATACCGAAGGACGACTGAGAAAACTTGTAAAATAGTGAAAAACCACGATTTGACCTAGTTCTTGACCTTTGACCTAGATAAAAAGTTGACCTAATTTCCCAGAAACTAGGCCTCATTACCTAGTTGACTGTGTTAGCAGATTTAAGTAAGTCCTTCTAGTTACCGAGAAAACGTGACAAGAGAGAAAGAATAATAACTAGACTTTGGAAATTGAACGAAGTTCAATTTCAGACTCCAGATTAAGACCTTTTTTAGCCGAGTCATCCAGAATAAGCTGAGTCATCCAAAAAAAGATGGATGAATAAAATAGGGAGGTAAGATAGGATAGAATAGGAAGGAACGATAGGATAGAATAAGAGAGAAGGATAGGATAGAATAAGAAGAAAGGATATGATAGGATAGGATAGGAAGGAAAAGATAGGAAAGAAGGATAGATAGGAAGGATAGGATAGTTTACAATAGAATCCGAAGAAAGAATAAGATAGGACAGAATAGAAAAGGTAGGATAGGATAGGAAGGATAGAATAGTATACAATAGAATCCGAAGAAAGAATAAGATAGGACAGAATAGGAAGGGTAGGATAGGATAGGAAGGAAGGATAGGATAGGATGGATAGGAAAGAAGGATAGGATTGGATAGGATAGGTGGGATGGATATTATAGTCGAGTCATCCAAAATAGCCAAGTCATCCAGAATAGGCTGAGTCTTCCAGAATAAGCCGAGTCATCCAGAATAAGCCGATGGATGGATAAATTGATGGATGAATGGATGAATTCATAGGATAGGAAGGATAGGACAGAATAGGAAGAAAGGATAGGATAGTATAGGATAGGATAGGAAGGATAGAATAGGATATGATAGAATCCGAAGAAAGAATAAGATAGGACAGAATAGGAAGGATGGGATAGGAAGGAAGGAAGGAAGGAAGGATAGGATAGGATAGGAAGGATAGGAAAGAAGGATAGGATTGAATAGGATAGGTGGGATAGGTGGGATATAGCCGAGTCGTCCAGAATAAGCCAAGTCCTATCCCTCTTTCCTATCCTTCTTATCCTATCCTTCCTTCCTATCCTATCCCATCCTTCCTTCCAGAATAGGAAGGAAGGATAGGATAGAATAGGAAGAAACGATAGGATAGTATAGGATAGGAAGGAAGGGTAGGATAGGAAGGATAGGAAAGAAGGATAGGATTGGATAGGATATACGATAGGATATAGGATAGATATAGGATATGACATAGGATAGGATATAGAATAGGAAGGAAGGATAGGATAGGAAGGAAAGGATAGGAAGGAAGGATACATAGGAAGGATATGATCAGACAGGATAGGAAGGAAGGATGGATGATTTTTTCTATATTTTCTTCGCTACTCTTGACTTTCTATAAGGATATCATCAGATCGATTTTTCTCGAAATTTCAAAACGCCATAACTTTCGAACCGGAAGTCGGATCGAAATTTGGTTTGCAGATTCGGATTCCTGAGTAAATTATACCCTTAATTCATAACTCAGATGTTAAATTTGGAGAACTCGTTATTTTGACCTACTTTCTGGACGCCATATTTCAAAATCGGTAAGCGTAATCAAAAATCTAATGTCATATCTTTGCTTTGGCTTTTTCTAAGCTACATGATGAAAAAAAGATTTAGGAGTTACGATAAACAACGACGAAGATAAATGACAGAATGTTGAAAATGTAAGATTTGACCTAGTTCTTGACCTTTGACCTAGATAAAAATTTGACCCAATTTCCGAGAAATTAGATCTAGGACCTTAATGGACCATATATAAGACTTGACTCAATATCTTCTAGTTAACGAGAAAACTGGGAAAGAATAATAAAGAATAATAAATAAATAATAAGAATACTGACAAAAACAATAGACTCCAGATTGACATCTGGAGTCTAATAAGAAAACCGGCAAAAGCAATAGACTCCAGATTTTCAATCTGGAGTCTAATAAAGAATACTGACGAAAACAATAGACTCCAGATTTACATCTGGAGTCTAATAAAAAATATCAGTGAGATGTATCATTGATGATTTATGTTAAATATTGCTGTCTTGTCATTTTATTAAGGATTTATAGATGTGTAAACAAAATGTCTAACACTATGTTCCTCTTATTATATAAGAGACACAAGGGAATAAAAATAAAACTATTTAGTAAAGGTTTATCATGTGGAACATCCTTGTTATTTTTCAAATCCAGCATGGACTATCATGTCTTAATCAGGGTTAACAGCTGGTTGTTAATTATACGAATGTTTTAAAGATGTCACTTATATCTTTGTTTCAGCATTTGAGTAAAATGTACTCCTTTTTGTTGTTTATAGTTTTTAATATGTTAAATTATTGCATATGTTTTTATTAGTTCATTACAATGATAGATTATACTTTGAGCTGTATGTGGTTAATGCACAGCACATTTGCACAAGTTGATAGAATTGATCTTGCTTGTATTTCATCATTTCACTTTATTAGGTATTAATAAGATACCAGGAAACTTTCTGTTTATGGTGCTAGATCCAATTAATTAAAACTATGATTTATTTTATTTATATTTACAGATGATGAAAAAAGTGTGTAAAGGATGTCTAATTTTGACGATGAACTCAGTAATTATTCAACTTCTGATACTTACACTCCTCACCAGAGCAGCGCTGCAGTGCAAATAACGGAAACAATACAAACAATAACCTCTTCTACAAACTTAACGAGCAAGAATTCTTCCAGTTCAGCTTCCAGTCTACAATTGGTGACAACAAATCAACATTCACCACAGATATGTCAATCTGAACAACAAACGGCTCCAAATAATCCTTTGAATCATGCCCAGTCTTCAAATTTGAACAAAACACTCTCAACAGTTCCTGCATCTCCTGGAAGTGTTTCATATGGTGCTACTATAACTTCTACAGTTACCTTCAACAATTCACAAGGAACTAATTCACGATTAAGTCTGAATCCATGTAAAATGCCATCTGCAGAGCCTACCCAAGCTTTCCCCCAAGCAGGGTCACCAGTGGGTGCTAAAGGTATGTATCATAAGTGTGTTTCGAAACTTTGACCAATTTGAACCAAACTAGGTAAAAAGTAATATAAATATGATGAATGGTATAATATTCGTTGTAGAATGGCTATTTATGAAACTGAATAGAAACTGTATTAAGTCCATGTTATATTTTGGAGTTGTTGCAGATGTTGTCTTTTTTATTAGTATTTCGTATGATTTCAATTTGAAACATACTATTGAGAGTCTTTGTTTTTTACCTCTTGGTTTATCTACCAGATAGGCTGTATCAAAGGGGGGCTGGACTTCAAGGTCAAAGGCAATCTCAAGGTCACCCTGCTGCTTCTCAATATTTATCATACTTGTGAGATCTTACTATCACCCTCAAAAAGTTGTTCAAATAATTATAAAATTCATTACCTCTTGCTTGTGACTGATTGCTAGAATACACATAATGTGACAATAGGTTATTGTTATCCCATCAAGCAAAGTTAGTAGAGATATAGGGAATGCTTCCCTCCGTCTTGTTTCTCCAACCGTACATCTGTCTGTCCGAGCGATAACTCAAATACTGTTGGCCTGATTTTGTTTATATTTTGTAATCATATGCCCTATGGGGGTAGAAGTTCTGCTCGATGGCCGCTTGTTAAAAAAAATGGTGGCCATTTTAGTGCTGATTTTACAGTGATTTGGGCACAACATATAAAACTGTAATGATTTATGTTTTATATATAAAAAGAAAAATGGCAACCATTTACATGTACGTGTGTGCAATTTTGTTGAAATTTTATATGTGCCAACTTAAAAGCATATTACACTTTCTTATGAATGTTATTTTACAATTTTGGATATAACTGAAAAAGTAGTAGAAGGTTTTTGTAAAAATGGCAGCCATACCCGTTCGATGGGATTTTCTACGCTTTGGCGTTGCTGTCACCTAGTTACATTTTTAATGCATTTGTAGAACTCTGTATTTCAGCAGCAGGAAAGGGGGTTCATCAATTTGGAAAACACTCTCATCTCCCTGTTAGTATTTCCCGTCCTAAAACCAGTTCATGGAAATGGCACCAGAGTTCTCTAGATAAAGATGGCCGACTTATTCAAGAAGCTCCAACTACCCCCCTCATAGGCTCTACACCCAAGGAAATTGGGGAGGCCTCCCCAAATAAAGGCACCTCTGTCGCAACTGGGCCCACAACATCCAAAAGTGTTGGAGAAGGCTCTCCCAATAAAGGCTCCCCTACCAAGATTGGAGCTCCAACGTCTCAAGATAATGATCCGGTCAGTTTAATCCAGAATGTTCTAAAAGAGGCTATGAGTAACATTCCCCCTCCCCCACCTAGGAGAGGCCCTTTGAGTCCCAACTCTGATAAAAGAGCCATGGATCCAATGGAGTCACCTGCTACTCCACAATATGCAGGGTTTTCTTGGCATCAAGTTAGCCCATATGAAAATGATCAAGCCAATGAGGAAAAAAATACAAATGGAGATATCAGTGATGCAGACAAGGATTCCATTGGAAATTTGACCAATGATAAAGAAGCACCAAATGTTCAGGACTCTGAAGGAACAATTGATGCATCTAATGAAGCAGCTAGAGATCATACTACTCAATCAGTTGAAACTCACAAGAATTCCTTGACGTCAAGTTGTACTCCTACTCAGTCAAGTAGTATATGTGAGACTAAAAGATCAACCAATGCTGTTGAGACTAATGAATCAACTGCAGATGGGACAGTTGACAACAATGAGGTTCAGACTAATGCAACAATTGAAAATAATAGAACAACTGGAGTTGACAGCAATGTTGAACTAAATGAAGCTATTCTTCCTATAAGAGACGAACCAAGTGATGCCATAGAAAGTAACAACCATTCAGCAGATGTTGAAACTTCAACAAACACATCTGCACTTGTTGTCCCTGACCCTGCTACGGACCCTGCTAATGAAACAACAAATACTGCCAACAATAGTGTAGATGATGTACATTCCATTAGGCAAAAGGGTAGTAATGTGATTGAGAATCCTTTGAATGAATCAGGTAAGGCAATTAAGATTGTGCATTATAAAGATGGTGACACACCTTCAATATTTCATCCTAATGGTGGGATGCAACCATCAAATGCTCCTGATAGTGAACTGAATGATGCTACAAAGGAACAGGAGAATGTTACTTCCAATGATCATGCTCCCAATGTATTCAATCCACAAATTGATGATGCACCAGTAATTCCCCTCTCAATTGAGCCATCTGCAGCAGCTGATGCTATTCTAGTTAATACTACAAAGGAAGGCAATGATGATGATGAAATTGAAGTCATTGAGTTACCACCAAAACAGATTGAACTCATTGAAATTGAGGATGACGAGAACACAAACACTGATTCAGTGCCATGTTTTACTCCCAATATTGAAAATTTACCTGGAATGACCATTATCCACTGTAACACGTGTGACAAATGGTTTAAAGACTACAACAATGCCTTGAATCATCTAAAAGCAACCAATAATACCCATAAACTAAATGCAGTTAAGAAATGCATCATATGCCATGGAAATACTATCCCATCGACTGCCATGGATCATTATGAAATTTGCATTCAGAAAGCAGTGAGGGATAAAATCTTAGTAGGTTGTCAAAGCTGTTCATTCCAAACAAACAATGTGGTCAACCTGTGTGAACATTATCTCATAAAGCACAATAATGAATGTGGTAATCCAGCTGGAGAAACTGAGGCTACTACATCAAATTTTATCCGTTCAATCCAGCAGTATTGTGTCACCTTAATACGTAAACCTACTCTTCCGCCTACTAACACTGGGGCCCCTTGTTCTGGAACACCAACCTCGGCAGATACCCTCATCAGCACCATAGAAAATTTGTTGAATCAGAAGGTTAAAATTCCACCAAAACCTGAACCCACTGTGCAAAAGAAATGTCCTGTATTTGGATGTCCTTTTGTGACTCCGTACCACTATAAACTTGAAGACCATATACGCATGTCTCACCTGGATTTGATAAAAAGAACTGGAAACAACCCCCAAACAATTTGTACATCACCAGCATCAACCCCAGCCCCTATTTTACCCAAATCAAACAATCTACCTGTTAATCAGCATAAATTGGACTTTGATGGCAAAAATTACCACTGCGCCAAATGTAATTTCATCATTGCTGACTTGAGGTTGTTCAAGGAGCACATCATAAGGCATTTCATGGGGAACCTTTACCAATGCACAAAGTGTTCAGTCCAAGGTCAAGACCAGCGTTCCATGGAGGCTCACTTTGCATCATATCATCCAGGCAACCCTGTAGTGGTCACAAGGCTCAAAAACATGGCAGTGGACAGTGTCATTGAGATGCTTCACAAAGCATGGAAGGATCGCAGTAGGGATATGTACTCACATAACCCAAATACTGCCCACCCCACATTTCTCATAACATCCACATCAGGTGGTGTGATTCCTGTGTCCACCCCCTCAATGCCTTTAAATAGCAATAACACACAGCAGACTGTGAGACCTCCACATCCTATAGCTACAAGTCTGTTAAGATCTCCACATACTACAGGAATGAGGCAGGCTCATCAGTCCTATGCTGCAGCCCAATATGCTCCTGTGTTACCCCCTCCATATAGTGCTTCCACAGGTCAACAACAGAACCAACAGCAACAACAACAAAAGCAGCAACAACATAACCAGGTTTCACAGAATCGCCAGCCTGTTCCATTAAATCAAAGATTGCAAGTCCCAGGTGGTAGCTATACTGGCAGACCCATAGCACCTAGACAGCCTGCACTCCTTAATGATAACCAGAATATAATACTATTGAACTCTCCTGCAGGAACCCAGGGCAAGAGGTTGCCTTTACTACATGGTATGAGGGTCCCATCGCATTCAACTCTTAAGCCACATTCAAATGTACCATCACATTCAAATGTACCTTCAAATTCAAATGTTCCATCTAGCCCCCAACTGTCGATGCCTCTTCTCTCTGATATCACATCTTCACTAGGAACACCTTCTTCAACAGCTTTATCAATTGAGAATATAGTGAATGCTGCAGCTGCCTCTTTGTCAGCTATTGCTGCCACACCATATCGAGCATCCAAAGCTAACTCAGTTAACTCCATATCTTCTTCCCTGTCATCTACTGCATCAGCACTAGGGGGATCAAATAAAGGACAGACTGCATCAAATCTCTCAGGTATAACCAGCCAGGCAGGAACACAGTCAAACACTAATTTAGCAACCACAGGCACCAAAAGCTTAATGACTGCCAGCCAGTCTTCTGTTAGACCAGGTACAGCGACACATCAGCCATTTGTGGGATCAAATCCATGCCAGTCAGCTGGAGGGCCCAGTACACTGACATCAAATCAATCAGTTGGAGGGCCAAGTACACGGACATCAAATCACTCAGCTGGACGGCCAAGTACACTGACATCAAATCAGTCAGCTGGAGGGCCAAGTACTCTGACATCACAACAACCAGCTGGATGGTCCAGTATACTGACATCAAACCAGTCAGCTGGAGGGCCCAGTACACTGACATCAAATCAGTCAGCTGGAGGGCTCAGTACACTGACATCAAATCAGCCAGCTGCAGGGTCCAGTACAACTACACGTCAATTATCTACTGAACCCAGTACATTGACACCTACAGTTGTTGAAAGACAACAGAACAAGAATGAAGATGATATTCAGGTAAGCTATTTACATCGAATTCCAAGAGTGTTTACCTCTAATTTAACACATTACAGTATTACAAGGTGCAGCACTTAATTTTTCACAAAATTGGATGGTCTTTTTTGGATGCTTCTTTGCAGAGGTTGGACTTGAAACAACCAATGTAGCTCTGTTGGGTTCACTATTGAGTTTACTGGCCTCTTGATAGGCAAATAGAATGGGGAAAATAAAAAATAAAAAGTTATATTAGATCTACAGTCACTCATCATGAATTTATTCTAATTTTCACTCCAGCCCTCAATACATGTAAACATTTAATGAATAAACAAGAGTGAAGACGTTAAAATTGTTTTTAAAATATCCCAGGTTGTTGGAGGGAATGCTCCAACCAGAAAACCAGAGAAGGTGGATCAGCCACTAATAATACGCTGCAAACGAGATAGCAATGGCGTCTACAAGTGTCTCATCTGTCAGCTGAAGTGTCACATCTCTGAAGACTTCAAACACCATGTTTGGGATCATATTCATAAGCCAGGGATGTTGTGCGCACATTGTCGATTTCAACGGACAAAGACCACAGAGGAACAGCGGTATAGATGCGGGTAAGTATTTCAGATCAGTTAATATTTCCTGTACTTACAGTTAATATGACACCTCAAAAAATATTTTATAACTCATGAAGTTTTCTTTGTGTTTCACATTGTCAAATAGGCCTTATAATATAAACTTATCCACATATAGTAAAACAGTTTCCTGATCATATGCCAATTCACCTATTTTTGCATTTTGGGTTCACAATAACCATTTATAATGAAGATATATATTACATATATACTTCGTTTCATCCATTTCTTTTAAATTTTAGTCTGGTAGATGAGTTAATGGAAGGTATGCTTAAGAGTACTGCTATAAAACGTGTCACTCATACTGCCAAGGATGCCAACAAGGGCAGAGAAGCCACTGGTACAGAGCATGCAGGGCCTGCACCAGAGGTTGACCTCACAACATGCCTGAACCCGCTTGAATCACCTAGTAGTGCTGACACTAAAAAGGCAGATGATCAGCCAAGTGAGTAAAATATAAGAAGAGATAGAAGAGATAAATTATGCAAAATTCTCTGTGCAAAGCTAGTAAACTTTGGTTCTGTTTGTTCAAATTAATAGAATTTGAGTACTGTAAAATGTGTTTAAGATATATATATAATTTTTGCCAATACTGAATTTATATTATAGATTATGTCTCACTATTTTATTATTTTATAAAACATTAACATGTTTTATTTTATAGAACAGATCATTTTGCCTGTATTTTTCTAGGTCTATCCAATCTACCTGGTACATACATACATAGATTTATGGTATTTATATATACTGAGATATTGGTTTATTTACAGGGACTATATTGACTACACCTATTGTGAAGAGATCCCAAAGTTCAGTTGCTGATCCTGAGCCAGCAACAGACACTACTGAAGCACAGGCTTCCATTAAGCCTGTCAGCTCAGCAACTACTATAGGTATGTATTCATATACAGCTACACATTATTTCATTAAGCATAAGCACCGGGGGATCAATCTGACTTTAGATTTGAGATTTGACCTTCTCAAGGTCAAAAAAAGTTCAAAAAGGTCTTTTTTCAACTTGCTTCAAATTTACCAAATTTCTTTTCAAATTCATCTACAAGTTCTCAGAAGTTCATGTCTGACTTTAGATTACAGATTTGAGCAACCAGCTGGTGACACTTGGTCATATTAATGCCTTGTCTTGTGTGTTAACATTATCCCAATACTGGTGTCTGTCATAATAGGAATTCTTATGTAATTCCAGATGCTGAAGATACATCCAACACTACTGCTGCACCAGTTAAGGAACCCAACAATCTTACACCAACAAAGCAACCAGTAGGTGTAAGAGTTCATGGGGAACCTGCAGATAATGTAAGTCATTCGGATTCATTTATTCCTACTGATTTAGCAGCACCTAATACCAGTATATCTATATCAGATATCCCTCCAACCCAAGAAAATGCTACAGCGACCACTGTTAAGCCAGCTACAGAGAGCAATAACACTGTTCAACCAACAAAAGATCTTGTTACTGTGAGGGGTTCCAGAGATACTGAGAGTACATCCCTGGCTTTAGAAGAAACAAATTCAAATGAGGCAGTGACACAACCAACCCCAACTGAAGAAAAGTACATAGAAAGTATAAAAGTAGAGAATGCACTGGTAGAAAAATTAAAGACACTTCAGGACTTTTATGTATGTGATCTTGAAGGCTGCGGGGAAAGTTATAAAAAGGTTGATTTATTTAAGCATCATTCCAGTCGCCATGTAACTCCAATATGCTGCTACTACTGTAAGAAGTCATTCAACAGCACAAACAGCCTAGTGAATCATCTACACAGTCACTTGAACCAGACCAAGTTCCAACTGCACCAATGTGCATTTGATAACTGTGAATACACCACTAATCTCCCTAATGAGTTTTGGAGCCATACTTCTGAAGTGCATAAGGGAGCTAAGGAATATGAATGCAAGCATTGCTCAGATGTATTTACAACAGTAAATAACTTAGTTGCACATGTACAGCAAAACATTATCAAACTGATACATTGTCCCTATTGTCGTAGTGTGACTTCAAGTAAATCAACATTATTGGGTCACATTAGACAGGAGCACCCTGGGAAGCCCAAGAAAATGACAGTCACTAGCCTGGTGGTATGCAGGAAACCAGTCCCTCCTACTGCCCCAACAGATGTTGAACTACAGAAAAGTCTCTCTATGTCCAGTGGGTTGAAAATAAATATAAGAACAGCTATGAGTAGTAAAGCTTCCAATAATAGTCTCCCTGGCACACCAGTGAATCCAACAGCCGTTGTTGTAAATGTGCCAGGAAAGCCCATACTTGGGGAGAAGATGTATAAATGTTATACATGTGGATTCAGTAGCACATCCAATGACCAATATGTCCAGCATCTGTCTTCAAATATTTGCAAGGATAAGTTAGATCGCAGGAAACAGAGCATTGAAGAGAAAAGGGACGATCAGGAATCTGTGATTGAAACTCAACAGGAGATCTTTTCATGTGATCTTTGCCCCTTTGATTGCTATATGAAGGAATCACTCCTAGAGCATCATAAGGTCCACACTCAGACTAGAGACCGCCACTGTAAGTTCTTTTGCAATGTCTGCCCAGCTGGGTACAATAAATACATTGAGTTTAATGATCACATGTGTGCTCACCGGGGAATACAAACAGTCGATATATACATGTGTAACACCTGCATGTTCATATCAACTGAACATGACACTGTACAGAGGCATCACAAAGATACCCACCCTGGAACAAAACTCAACTACAATGTCGGCCCAAGATACTTCAAGCCAACTGATAGGACATGTAACATATGTAAAGTTAAATATAAAGCAAAGACAGGCTGTCAGTCTTGCAAGTTGAATGCTGATATAGCTGAAAAATCGAAAGCAGACAGACAAAGGAAGAGGGAAAGAGAAAAACAAGCCAGGTCTAAGGAACAAAAAGTTAAAGAGCGTGGGACTCCATTCGACTATAGCAGTCATACCGTTCTCTGTCCAGATTGTGGAGAAAGTTATACTATCAAGAATTTTAATAAGCACTATGCAAAACATCTCCCTGCATTTGAAAGGAAACATAAGTTGAAGGTCATTGGTTGTGTCCACTGTCCATTTAAAGACTTGACACCAGAAGCTCTTTCAAGTCATAACAAGAAGGAACACCCAACATATAAAATCAGCATGTTTACCAAAACCTACCAGGTAATTGGTCTGAATAAAGATCTAAGTGCAAAGCCAGTTCTTATGAAACAATCCAATGTAAAGAAACTCAAAGATAAGATTTATGAGAAAGCTGCTCCTGTAAGACAAAGAGGCTCAAAGTCAACAGATTCCAGAGCAAGTTTAGATATCAATCACTATCACTGTGAGTATTGTGAATTTAGCACTAACACTCGTGGAATTCTAGTTGACCATGAAAAGGGTCACAGAGAAAGTACAAGTACTGATAACATCAACAATATGTGGGCTGCAAACATTGATGACAATGACAGTGTTAACGCTGATGACAATGAGGATGATGATGATGACGATGCATCAACTGTTAAAAGTGATTCTTCTAAAACATCTAGTTCCCCAAAGATAGATAGGAAAGTATACAAGTGCAAGTTGTGCACACATGCTACACGATATGTTCAGAACATTCAGACACACATACAGAAGAAACACAAGAAGGAATGCTCAGACCAACTACCATTTTTATGCACATATTGTAGCTTTACTGGTTTCTCTAGGGAACATATCTATGAACACCAAAGGGCCACTCACATTGGGAAAGTTAGAAATTCAAAAATGAATGACATCTTCTACCATCTTGTCAAGGAATCCACTATCTCTAAAGGTACACTCAAGAAGAAGCGTGTTAAAGAATTCACGAAAAGAGCCAAATGGGATCCTAAATTGAAAGGTGATTGTTCTGTAGTTATACAACAGTTGCCAGAAAGCTGGCATGAAATCTTGCCTTCCCTTATGCAGCAAGCTATGGGTTATGAAGTACAGGTGCGCATGTTACAACGAACACCTAATGGAGACTACATAATTCCCAAGGAAGATGTGTTTGGTGTACATATCCAGTGTCCAAACTGCACATACAGGACTAGGATCAGAACTGATCTTAAGCAACATATGAATTCTGCACACACAATTTCCCATTCTGAATCACATGAATTAAATAAGTCATTGTTATCACCTCCAGTATCAATTTCATCTTCAATGGTAGAGACCAAAGCCATGTTTACAAAAAGACCACGGAAAAGAAGGTTGTCTATAATGGATGATATAATGAGTCATAAGCCAACACTAGAGCCTCCAATTAAAAGATTCTTGAGCTCTGAACTAGATGCGGCTACTTCCGAACCTATCGCTAACGTTACTGGAGAGACAAAGTTAGAAGATGAGGATGAAGAGCGAGATATAACTACAATGTCAATCCAAAATGACATGCCAGTCTTTGACCCCAAGAATTACAATGCAGATGAGAATTTGAATGCGACAAGAATCTCTTTGGATGAAGTGCTCTCTGAACATGAAGTAATTCCTGATGCCTGCTGGAGGGTTGTGGACGTTAAATGTGTGTATGACAAATTCACAGGTTCGAAGCATTGTACATCTTGTGACCACCAGGCTCTTACTCAGGATGATATCAGGAAACATTGGTACTACACTCACTGGTTTTATAAACCATATCGCTGTTTATACTGTGGACTGAACTCCACAAACACTATCGATATTATCAAACATTCCAGTAAGTTTCACAGGAATCTCCCTCTGAAGGTGGTAAAAGTTTACTCAAAAGAGGAGCAAACGACTCAGTTAGTTCCATTTGATGTTAGTAATGAGATTGCTCCAGATCTTTTACCAGATAAGCTATACGCTTATGTGGATGGCTCTATTAAGCCTTTAGAAGATCCTGATGTACTTGAGTCATCTTTGGAAAAGCAACTGCAATTGAATATCTCTAAAAGAATGGTGGAGGAACCATCAGATCATAATTCTGAAATTGATACAGTTCAGCAGAATGCTTCAAGTTCAGCACTTGGGCAGTCCATAAGTGTAACACAGAATAGTAGTCCAACACTTGAAGAACCAACACATGTGAAACAGATCAAAACTCCTACTGTGCAAGAAAAACAAGCTTATGATGCTTTACAAGTTAACACAACAAAAAATAATGCCTTCATAAATGTACCTGTGAGGCCAGTGCAAGTAGTCAAGAATGTAGGTTTTGGCAATGATCATACACCAGTCCAAGTAAACACAAATGCAGCAATTGCAACAAAGGTCATCAAACATGCAGCAATGAAGGCTACAGCTGAAATGAAAGCTCAACTTATTGATACAACGAAGCTGTATATTGAGGAAAGGCCAAATGTATTTAAGTGTGTCATCTGTAATGACAAGAAGGAAAGTGTTGTTATGGTAACAAAACATGCTGAGTCTGTTCATGCAATATTTTTCCCTTTTAAATGCAAATACTGTGACTACCTTTGTCTAGAGAAAAAACGAATGAAGAAACACTGTGAAGTCCAACATGCTGACATGCCTGTGAAAGCCATTGTAAGGAAACAGAAGGTGCCTGCTCGAAGCACTGCTGAAAGCATTGCGACAAGTACTAAGCAGAATGATCAATCAAAAGACCAAGTTGATGTAATTCCAAGTGGATTTAACAACACAAAACAAGTCATACACTTAAAAGCTACATATTTGAAAGGGTCAGAACAAATTGATGAACATATCAATGGCATTGTTACAGAGTTAATGAACTCATTACTTGATCAAGTTGAGCACAAAATTGGACAAGTGACCGACACCCCCATGCAAGAAGATATACAAGTACCTTCTCTAGTAATTAGTGTGAATTCAATCTCAGCGGATAAACACACATTCACAGCTACATCTACAAATGAAGGAACTATTCATGTTGGTCAAGAAGACTCTACCAACCAGACCTCCACTGAATCTTCTTCAGATATTGAAAATGAAGTTAAACAGATACTTAAAGAAATTGTGGATAAGGTACTTGAAGAAAATGATTTTGTTGGAACTAAAAATATGACTAAGCACACCAACAATGATAAAGATGATGAGGATAGGAATGTCAAAGTAATGTCAAAAGGCTTAAATCAATGTATAGCCACCCCTGCAACTCAAACCAAAGTTGAATCAACTGGCACAAATCAACAGAGCTACAGTTCGGGTAACCAAAGGAGCAACACAATATGTACCAATGAAGCAGATACAACTACAAATACTGATGAACAAGAGATATCAACAATTGGGGATCCTGTTGTCTCTACAGTTGTTGCAAGTACACTAGAAAGTATAATAAACTCTGTTTTAGACCAACTAGAGAACAAAAAGAAACCAAATAAGGAAAGAATCAACATATTTGAAAATATATTTAAAAATGTTGGTTCAGTAGTTGACACACGAGTTAAAGCTGTCAAAAACAATGAAACTAAAAATAGACTTAAATTGAAAAGAAAGTGGTCATGTGAATCTAATGGAATCACCTCAATGCGAGTACCTGTCATTATGAAAACTTCAAAACCTACTGACAACCCAATACCAGATGATCTACCAAATCTTGTGAAAAAGCCCATTATGTCAAGCATAAGGGATAATATGGAAGTGAAACAAAGTGCTCAAAGAGCTGGAGTATTTGAGTTGAATTTTGAGAACATATCGAGTGACGAAGAGACTCCAGCCTCTGCAAAGCTGCCAGTAAAGCTTGGAAAAATGACAACATCTACTTCATTTGAAAACATCAGTGACGATGAACACGCTGCAGCTAGGCCTCCGTTAAAGAAAGCAAACCTAACAGGAATTAAAGAGCATCATATTAAGAATGTTTTTGATATTGGCTTTGAAGATATATCAAGTGAAGGAGAGGGGTCTGATGACAATGATGATTATGGTGATGATGGAATATTTGCAGGTATTAAGCCTGCCAAGCAAAAGGGAGGTGGTCCAGAAAATGAAAACTCTGATGAAAAAGAAGATGACTATGATGAAACTGGAACAAATGCTGGAGTGAGTCGAGTGACCCCGATTAAACAAACAAGAGGTGGACCTGAAGTAGATGACCTTTTTGTAGATCCTTTTGCAAATAATGAAGAATATGATGATTTTGGAGAAGATGGCATCTTTGCTGGAATGGAGCAGATCATCCAAACTGGTGGTGGAGGACCAGAGGATTCAGATGAAAAGTCTGACTCTGAGGAAGAGGTTGATCTAGATAGCAGTGATGATGAAGAGAATGAAAATGACAAGAATATATTTGAAAAATTTAACGCAACTGAAGATTCATCGAATGGGAGTAGTAATATATCGGAAAATGGAGGCAAACCTGATGATGTCTTGGGCAAAGAAGAGGGACAGACCCTTGAAGAAATGTTGATAGATTTGAATGGCACAGACAAAAATCAAGACCCTGACATTAATGCTGAAAAGAACATATTCTCACAGCTTACAGCAAAAATACAAAGTACAGAAAACATTCAAGATAAATTCCAAAGACCACCAGATGGCGTAGATACACCAAACAATGATGAATCTGCTGATGAAGATGATCAAATGAAGGCAGATGATCAACATATTGTTAATATTAAGAAAGAACCTAGTATAGAACCACTCCATGAAGAGGAAGGGATAGATGGGCAAAGTGATGATGATGATACTGGTGATGGTATGAACATGAGCTTAGGTAAGATCATAGATGTCAAATCGCTCCAAGGAGAAAACTCTGGATTTGATGTACCGAAAAGTTCTGAAGAAATGGGTGAATCTGGAGAAGTCCCTCATACAGAGCCAATAGAAGAAGCTGCACAGGACTCTATGAGTAAAACAGCTATATCATCTGAAATGTATGAAGAGCACTATTCATTTCTGGTAAACAAATATGGGTCCCCATCAAGAAAAGTATTCTATCTGTGTTCTATTTGTAACACATATGGAAGCAAATATTCAAATCATGACATTGAACGTCATATTTGGAAAGCTCATTTAAAACTTAGAAAGTTTGTATGCTCAGAATGTAATTATGGTGATCTGAAAAAGGCATCAGTATTGACCCATGTCTCAAAACACCATGGTAGTACAAAATTTTGCATTGAAGAAAATGTACCATATATGAGACATGAATACCAAAAAGAAGGAAATATCATATATGTGGGAGATTTGAGTGTTTACAAAGATACATTAGCGAAGATTGAAAAAGGTGTTTGGCCATCAAATGCAGGTACTGCCCCACCAAAGGTTTTAGATGTGACATCTAAGAGTACCCCTTCTAAGATGAGTGCAAGAATCACTAAGATTAAACAAGAAGTTGTAGAAAATGATGAAGTTCCTGAAGAACTTGAAGAAGAAATGGATGATGAAACCACTGGTTTAGAAGCCATCCCCCATATGCAGCTAAATCAAATAAAAACTGAACCCGAGTATGGTCCAATAACTATATCTCCTAATGATATGGAAGCATCTACCTCTGATGAAACATTTGGAAATTTGAGATCAACATCCTATAACAGGGCTAGTCCCAGAAGTAGTTCACCAAGAGGGGCATCCGTAAATGTAAATCCACTTGATGTTGTGAAGTACAGTGATGAACAAAATGCCCAACTTGAAGATGCAGTTAAACGTATACGAAAAACTGGATCTGGAAAGTTTGTATGTCCTATTTGCAAATATGGATACAGAAGCAAGGATAAATGTTTGCAGCATGTTAGAAATGAACTTGGAATGGACAAGTATAAGTGCCATATTTGTGGTACTTTTAAGACTTGTTTCAAACATGCATTATCTAAGCACCAAGAGAAGCATGAAGTACATACCCAGACATACCAATGTCAATTCTGTCCATTTACGTCCAAATCACAAGATACAGTAGACCAGCACATGAAGAATCATAAAAAAGAAGAGGAATTATCCTGTGATCTCTGTAACTTCAAAACACTTGACCGTGATCAATTCAGATCCCATCATATGCTGCACCAGACAGGCAAAATGGGAGATGTTAAGGTTGATATAGGTCCTATGAATGAATCACTTCTGGTACCAAATGACATTGAAGAGGAAAACCAAGGCAACTGGCAAGATATGGGTTCTGATTATCAATACAAGTGTGAGACATGTGGTTACAAGGCCATATCCAACATTGACATATATTCACATATTATCACCCATAAGGATAAAACCAGTAGAAAGTTATCATGCTTTTGTGGATTTGCCACCAAGTATGTTCGTAATCTGACAAGGCATTCAGAGAATGTTCACAACAAGAAAAAGATGCAATGCAACCTTTGCGACTATCAAACTGCATTTATGATGAACTATAAAAACCACATGAGAATGCATAGAGAGGAACAGAGTCAGCAAGGAGCTGGTCAGGATTATGGTCAGGAGTACATGTGTATATGTGAAACATGCAAATTCAAATGCACCTCAGAGGCCAGTCTAACTAACCATATTGCTTCACATCCAAGTGGAGTGACATTAAGGCTCAGCTGTTTTTGTGGACACTTTCAAAGCAAGTGGAAAGCTAATATGATACGCCATTTTAATGATGTACACACTAAGGGCAAGAAATATGCATGTTCAAAATGTGAATTTGAAACTCCATTCATGGAGGTTTTTAACAAACATATGAAGGAGGAACATGTGAAAGATGATGAGGGAGATAATGAGATGATTAACTATGATGAACCACCTTATATGTTCAAATGTGAAATTTGTGAAGTAATTACCTTCTCAGCTGATGAATTAACTCAACATGTGCTAACTCATCCAAAGTTTACTCCAAAGTCATTCTCATGCTTTTGTGGCCATAAGACATCTTACAAAGATGGGTTAGTGAGGCATTACATCGCAATCCATAAGAATGCAAAGCGTTATAAATGCAACAAGTGTATTTATACATCAACATCATTACAGAGTTTCCAGATTCACCAAGCTTCACATATGGATGGTCAGTTCATGCAGGCAGAGTACCAGTTCAAGTGTGATGTCTGTGAATTCAAGACAAGCTCTGAAATTGACCTGACAAATCACATCCAGGGTCACCCAAGTGGAACACCTAAGAAACTCTCTTGTTATTGCGGGTTTACAACTAGGTATAAAACTAATTTGATTCGGCATACAGATGCTGTTCATAGGCGTGGGAAGAAGTATAAATGTGGACAATGTGAATACCAGACACCATTTATCTCAAGCTTCCAGAGTCATATGAGATCACATAAGAATAGCATTGCTAAAGAAAGTGCAAATGCCATTGCCAAGAATGAAGCTGAGTACATGTTCAAATGTGAAGTCTGTGACTACGGAGCTAAATCAGCTTCTGATTTGAACACGCACATATTCTCTCACCCAAAAGGTACACCGAAGCAGTTCTCTTGCATGTGTGGTTTCTCAACTACATACAAGGAGGGACTTTTCAGCCATTTCATTAGTATCCATAAAAATTCCAAACGACTAAATTGCAACATGTGCACTTACACAACAATGTCCAAGAAGAGTTTCCAAATTCACCAGGCTCTCCACAATGATGATGATTCAATCAAAACAGCAGATTACAAATACAAATGTGATGTGTGTGATTTTAAAACTAACCAAGAGGTAGACCTAGGAGACCATATTGCATCCCATCCGCCAGGAACACCCAAGAAGCTATCATGTTTTTGTGGATTCATGACCAAGTACAAAACAAACTTAGTGAGACATTTAGATGCTGTCCACCGACGGGGCAAAAAGTATAAGTGTGGTCAATGTGGGTATCAAACTCCATTTATGACAAGCTTTACGCAGCATAAAGCCACTCATACTAAAGTAAGTGAGAAACTGAAGGAAGCCGCTGTTGAGGACACGTCAACCACAAATGCTGCTGACTACATGTTCAAGTGTGATGTCTGCGATTACAAAGCTAAATCATCACAGGATCTTACCGATCACACCTTAACCCATCCTAAAGGGACTCCTAAACAATTTTCCTGTATGTGTGGCTTCAGTACATCTTACAAGGAAGGTCTGTTCAGGCATTACATTTGTATTCACAAAAATGCACAAAGAATGACCTGTGAAATTTGCATGTATTCCTCATACTCCAAGAAGAGTTTCAAGATACATATGGACTCACATAATGATGATGATAAAATGCAGGTTGAGTACAAATACAAGTGTGACGTTTGCAACTTCAAAACTAAACATGAAAAGGAATTGTTGGACCATGTAAATGGTCATCCCCAAGGTACACCTAAGAGACTGTCATGTTACTGTGGGTTTGCAACCAAATACACAACCAATCTTGTCAGACATTTGGATGCAGTTCACAGGAGAGGAAAAACATTCAAATGTGGGCGATGTGGTTTTGAAACGGCTTTCATTGCGAAATTCTCAGAACACATGGCAGAACACAAAAAGGGTAAACCAGATGGAAATTCCTTGAGCACAAATGAAGGGCTGCAATTGCAGTGTGACACATGTGATTTCAAGACTACGTCAGAAATGGATCTTTCAACACATTTGTTATCTCATCCAACAGGGACCCCGAGAAAGCTGTCTTGCTGTTGTGGGTTCACCACAAAGTTCAAACCAAATCTCATGAGACACATCAATGCAGTTCACTTACATGGTAAGAAATTCAACTGTGGGAAATGTGAGTTCCAGACTTCATTCATTGAGCAGTTTACGGCTCATGTAAAATCCCATGAAGAGAAGGAAGTTATTGCTAGTACTGATGATGAGCAACCACAGCAGCCGGGTGAGTTGATTGATCTGGAAAATGCATCATATATGTTTAAATGTGATGTTTGTGAGATCAAGTGTCAATCAAGAGAACATCTCTCCCAGCACATTGAATCACATCCTAAAGGGACACCTAAGGATATGTCGTGTTTCTGTGGGTTCAAGACAAAATACAAAAAGGGTTTGTTTGATCATATGAGAAGTCTGCATGAAAATGCAAAACGACTACAGTGCCCAAAATGTTCATTTTCAACTGTATCAGCATCGAGATTTGAAGCACATAAACTCTCACATGAAACCGAAAATGGATCTGGAATGGATTGGCAGTTTTGCTGTGATGTTTGTGATTTCAAAACTAACTCAGAAAGTGAACTGACCAGCCATATTCTGGGCCACCCTAGTGGCACACCAAAGAAGCTGTCGTGTTTCTGTGGGTTTACATCTCAGTATAAAGCTAACCTAATGAGGCACAACTTTGCTGTTCATAAAATGGCACGTAAATTCAAATGTTTTAAGTGTGGATTTGCCACACCAAACATGACTGATTTCCATGAACACATGGCTACTCATAGGATTCAACCAACAAAAGACAAACCTACTGAACCAAAAGGTCATGATGTCAATTGGCAGTTTTGTTGTGATCTTTGTGAATATAAAACAGCTTCTGAATCTGATCTACGAGCACATTGCACTTCCCACCCTAGAGGAGCTAAACTGAAGCTTTCTTGTAGATGTGGCTTCACTACCAGCCATAGAGAGAACATCATCAGACATAACTATGTTGTCCATAAGCAGGTCAAACACTACAAATGTAAGGTCTGTGATTGGTCATGTGCTTATCTAGAGGGTATGAGAGGTCATATGAGGACGCACATGCAGAGTAAACCATTCAAATGTAAGCTGTGTGACGTCAGAATGAACAGTAAGCATTCAGTATTGATGCATATAATGTCAAGACATCAGAAACTTATGCGATACAGCTGCCCATATTGTCATTTAGAGTCCTCAGCCAGTGCTAACATAAAGCGTCACATTATGTCTCTTCATAGAGGAGAGCCACTGAAGTATAAAACAATACCTATACCTAAAGCCACCCTTGCTAAGGCATCCAAGAATGTTGAGGTTCTGGAAGATGTTTTAGCAAAGGAGAGAGAAAGGGAGGAGGAATGGTTGGACAAAAGCAAAGATATGTCTTCAATGGAGCTCTTACGTCTCACAGCAGCGCAACAAGGTACATCCTCTGAGTTGAATGACATTGAGCCAGTTGAGAATGGCGATGTGGCAGCATCTGGATCTGTTTTCCCAAGGAATGAATCAATGCTGGAACATACTAGCAACGAACAGAGTTTCAGTGTCCAAGACCAAACAGTTGATATCCCATCATGTCCCGTTTG